ACATGCGGTAGGACTCCTTGGACGAGGGATCGGCCCGTCGCAAGGCCTCTACCTGTACACAGGACAACGCGACACAGAAAGACGCGGACAGACATCCATGGCTTGAGTGGGATTCGAACCCACGGTCCCAGCGACCAAGGCCCACGCCTCAGACCGCGCGGCCCCCATGTCTTGAGGTACTGAAGAAAAAACAGAAGAACCCTCAGTCAAGATAGCTAGTATCTGGCTGAGATTTTAACCCAGGGTCTCTCGAACGAGTGTCGGCCACTTGGCCACAGCGTTTGGTTTTAAAAGTCTGTATTGTACAAATAGTTTAGTTTCTGTCTTTGAACAGGCTTGACTGTGAACTGACGTTTTACTGCTCTAATAACAAGCGAGTATCGTTAGCTTTTTTGCAGGTTTATTGATTTTTCATATTTGTCTGCGTATTGTCAAACGAGACTTGCCGCCACGATGCTGGTCCCACTGGCTCCGTCCCCTCTCTCATGGTATCTGTTTCGTGATGGTGCAGTGTTGTTGGGTTGAGTTTGTTCACACATATTTGGTAATTTATTTGAGGTGAACATATTTTGTGTGGGGAGTATTCCCTCACATTCCAGCTGACCTGAAAAATTAAAATACTGTTAATATGTTTTGGTATAGTTTTGCTTGTAGTAAAACATTTTATTTCTGCATTTTAAATATTAAAAACCCTTTATACTGTTGCATCTTTATCAGCAACAATTTTTGCCAAACACTCGTCATGTTTATTCTTTGTACCATTCATGTTTCATGATGTTTGTAAACTTGCATTCATTTAATTATCAGTTTTTGTGCTAGATGGCAGCAAAATGCAGTGAAATTTTAAATGTCCTTGTACTTTCCCAACCCCTTTTTATAATTTATTAACCTGATAGAGATGGAGAAGGCCCCTTTGAGCTCCCATACAGTTTGGTGCTATAGCCAGAATCGTTGTGAAGATCAGCTTGCTCGTGAGTCGGACTGTATACAGCGCTGCGACTGCGGTATGGGAGCCCTGACATCAGGCGACTTTCTTCCACTTGCCACGGACATGTTGCTACGACATTCTCGTAATCTGGATTTCCTGCTTCTGGGATTCTTAATATGCCATCTTCGTCACCATCTTCTGCGTCACTTGATTCTGAACTGCCATTATCGTCATGGCAACGGTAATGGTTTGAACCGTGTACCGCCACTGCTTCTCCTTGCCATGCAGCATTTCCTCTGTGGAAATTCTGACTCTGCCACTCGTGTTCTCTTCTTCCGTCAAACCTCGGTAATTCCGGCGGCTCACCGTGCTTCACTTCGGGGAACTTTGGGGTTTCGGCGTCGGCAGACTTCAGTTTATTATGGATTTTCCAAGCAGGGACTATTTGGCTAGCTTGTTGAGCACTTTGAAATCTTGCAACCATTTCATGAACTGATCTTCGAAGTGGCTCTTCTCGCCAATCAGGTGACGCATTGTCCGCTTGTGTATCTTTGTGCCTTTGCTCGTCTTCTTTACTCTCTTGTTGGTACTTCTCTTTCCAGGTTGATGTATGACTACTAGTGGTGCCATCTTCTTTCCTAGCTTTAGGTACCTCTGCACTTCTCTTCTTTGACTGATCTCTCAAGGATGTAATACCATTCTCCAGAAGCACATCAAAACTGCGGTTATGGTCTTGTGACTGGCACAAACCCTGTCCGTTGATAGATTCGCGAGGTCTTTGGTGTTGGGACGCAGGTAACTCGTTAACAGATCTGTAGTGAGGTTGGTCTCTCCATGAAATTGACCTGTGGTCTAAAAGTGTGTCGAAGCTACGGTTGTGCTTGTCTCGGGCATTGAAACTCTCTGGATTATTTGTACTTTCATTATTTGTACGAGATGCTGGTAATTCATGTGCTGACCTGCGATGAAGTTGGCCTCTCCAGGAAGTGACATCTTTGTCTAGTAGGGTCTCAAAACTTTTATTATGCTCTTGTTTAGATTTAGGAAGCTTGTGACTTTTCTGAATGCCTTGTTTTAATCTGAATGCTAGTTCATGAGCATAAGTGTGATTTGGCTGAATGTTTGGTGTAGAGGTTTCGTGTTTATTTTCACTTTGATATGCTTGTGCATTTTTTTGTCTGCAAGAGATCTCATGAGAAGAATTCATGTAACGTCTTCTCCAGCCAGCATTTCCACCATCATCAGCCAACATCTCCAGACTACGGTGATCTTGATCATGTCGTAGACCCTTGTTAACTCTCGTGGCATTCGGATTAGTCGCAGTGTCTTGCTGCTGTTCTCGCCATTCTGTCTGATGATCCAACATATGTTCCAGGCTTCGGGCTCGAGGTACTGGGACAGGTCCCATTGAGTCTGGAGGCTCTGATCCACGCACTCGCTCAGAACCGCGTCCTGCCGCTCCCCTCGTTATCCACTGTGCCAAATGTAAGTGGCGTTGGTCACACAGTGCACGTTCTGCGACGACACAGCGAGTCAGTTCTGAGATTTGTCCCTGCGTACGACGTTCCAGACTCGATACTTTCTGATCTAGTCTTTGGTGCGCTTGGTCAATATGTTCCTTCAGTTCCTGTTTGTCCCTGTCCAGTCGGGCTTCCATGTGGCGGAAAAAAGGAGCGCAGTAGCATGTGTAGCCCACGCCAACAGGGCCCTGAAACAAGTCACATAAGTTTTCTTTTAAAACATGTGTTTACATCTCCAACTCACAATTATCTGAAACGAAAGCATGGTTTGTCCCCAGTCTCTTTTAATTTCCTGTGGAATATGTTAGGAGAAAAGATGAAAATTCAGAGGCCTCTTAGTTTAATGGTCTAAATCCATGTACAGAATTGATGATTTTCATGATTATGCATAAAACATGGGTCCATAAAGAATTATATAAACATCCTTTCAAAATCAGATGTTGAATTACCAAAACCCACATGTATGTACGTAAGACCCATCTTTATTTGAACTTTTCGACTCAAAACGACCCCACAAGCGCGTAGTTAAGCTATGGACATTCTGTGTGTTTTTTTACCATATGAATCCATATTAGAAGTATAATATCTCAGTTAGTAATAATTAATCTTTTTGAAGAATAAAGTAGTTGGGGTCTGTGATAGAAATGGTTACGGATCAACACGCATTATTATTTAATAATCAGTTTCTTTTGGGTTGTGGTGCCATGTAGACTCATCAGTAGATGCCAGTATTTCAGAGAAACCTACTGTTTTGATCTTCAGCATTTAAGATGGAGGTGGTATGTAAAATTATATTTTTTTCTGATTTCAGGCACCGTTGCAACTGTTACAAACAGCGAGGTGATAGAAGAATCCTCCGCTGAACCACGTTATTACAAGAGAAAAAAATACTTTTGAACTGGTCTCTCGGAAGTAGAACTTTTTCATGTATGTATTATTTTTTCAGTTTAATGGTCGCGTCGTTAAGTCGCCAGAAAACGTACGTTGTGTACGGTCTGCGACTGTAATCTTGAGACTTGTGGGGTGAAGGGGGAGAGACAGCGTCAGCCTTTAACGTTTCGGACTTCCCGCATTCCTCGCGAGTCTCAAGATTACTGTCGCGTACTGTAGTTATGCGGTGACATGATCATAACTTAATATGACTCTTTGATGATGTTTAAGTTGGCGTACCTTACAAATGTTGCCGGCCAGGTCCAGGTAGTATTGTTCTCCTTTCTTAAGAGGTTCGTGGGGCAGCGAGTCCAGGTTTGGCTGCGGGAATGCCTTAGGATCTGGATAATAGTGGCAGCCATATGGTGACCACTGTTTGCCCGTCGGCCTTTCAAAGTGCACCTTGTGCGCGTTCTTATGCTGAAAGTCGACATCATCATTATATTCTCTCGCTATAGCGAAGTTCAAATTTTTAGATCCGAAAGTTCATTAATGACTGAGAAACAAATCTAAACTTTTTATGCAAAATTTCAAGATTTCTTGGGAAAAGCCCGTAAAATATCAAATCTGCCCGTCGGCTTTTATCCGACGACGGTTCGAGCAATCGGCCTGTGACTCACCTTCTTCTTGTCTTTCTGCCTGCTGCTGCTATCTTTGCTGCTAGTTCCGCTCTCATTCTTACCCCTCTTTTTCTCGTTGTGGTCCTTTTCGTGCCCGGTCTTCCCCGATTTGCTCTTGGATCTAGTAGCGGATGGACTGTTAAGGATAACGAGGATTTCGTTCAGATCTTTTCGGGTCGCTATTTCCCTTGCGGTCTCATTTTGCTGTAAAGAATATTCGTTACGTTTTACAAGAGTACGTGAAGACGACCTTCTGTACTGTTACGTGTAATGGCGTCAAGGATATCGAAGTTGGCGGTACGTGCAACATGCACGAGGAATAATAAATGCTTTTAGAATCATAAGAGAAATTACCTGCTTGCTGTGACGTAGGTGGGAGAGTAATATTAAATCTGATCTTTGGAACATGTTATGAAAATATAAAGCGGATTGAACTTCCTTGCTTCGTAGAGATATAATTTTTCCTTTTTTACGGTAGTTATGAGCCTTTGGGTTTTATAGTAGCAGAAGATTTTCGGTGCATTTCTTCTTCTATGGCTCTCCGGTCCGTGGCCTCCTCAATTCTCCTCTTCCATCCGGTCCTCTGTCAGGTCCGTCTGTCCGAGGCTTTGATCGAGGTCTCGAAACCTTCCTTTTTACGGCGCAAGGTTGTTAGCCTTGCGACCAACCCCCAACCTGGAGGTCCAGGGTACCTGTCTTAGTCTGACCTCTCCCCCTCGACCAACCCTACCAGGAGCTATGCTACCGCCAGCATAGCTCTTGGGGTCACTGAGGTACTCAGCCCCACCATTTCGGTGCATTTAGATGTATATTATTTGTTAAGACTGGCTCCTGTATCTGAGCATTTGTTGAGGAAAATTGACTCTTTGGAGGAATTTTGACGAACTTCAAATTACATCACAGAAAGGTGAATCGGCAACTTGCGGCGCGTTCAGATTGCATTCTATGAAGATATGAATTCTGCCATTATACTTTCTTCATCAGACGTCATGTTGACATTTTTCCATAGTTATTTCGTAAGAATGAATTGTATATTCAATTTTTTGATACATGCTTATTTATGTGCCTGGCTTTAAATTTTCAGGGGCATTAAACATAATCACCTTATTTTTTAGACTCTTGTCACATCCGGCCTCCAACAGTATCCTGGTTAACTTCCGCCGTCCCATCGCTGCGGCTATGTGTAGCGCAGTGTCCCCATTCTGAGAAATAAGTTTTAATTACCACTTGCTAGTTTAACTTCTATAATAAGGTTATAATGAATGGTACTTGTGGGTTATCAGGACACATCGCTTTAAAAATAGGTTATGTTAGGTTAGGTTGGGTTAATGTGTGTGGATAAATGACATATACTTGAAAGTTATTATATTTGAATGCCCTTGAACAGTTAGAGACTTTTTCTCTGAATTTTCTCTTTTTATAAGTGTGACCAAAAAAATATTTCCTAAAGTAAACCTTTTATATTAATAATTTAAATTTGTATGGTATTATATTAAACTGAGAATTCACGTAGTTATTTTTGATGACGTCATGTTGCATGCTACGAGAAGCCGAACTGATTTTTATTTCATTAAATGCAATGGATTGATAATATAGAATATACTTTTACTAAAATAATAATCTATATCTTAATTGCGTCATGCTTGTGTTCTTCAATATAATAATTTATTCACCGTCTCTACACAACATTATAACATTTCTTCATTTGATATTGTTACATTTACAATATCAAATGAAGAAATGTTATAATTTTATGTGATTTTAACAATCTTTAAGCTTGTGTAGAGACGGTGAATAAATTATTATATAAAATAATAATCTAGTTTTACACTGTGTGTTGAAGTAAGCTCTTATGTCTCCCATTTTACCTTGTTTTGATCTGACACCCGACACTGCGCGCTGATAAGGATGCGTGTGACCCCTGCATGGCCGTATCTTGCACTCGTATGCAGCGGTGTGTCCCCGTACTGAAAAATAAGTTAGCCAACAATTTTTATTGTAATTTTTTGACATTTGTTGCTACTTGGCACCTGCGTAGATAAATTATATTACCCTTACGTTATATTTAACAATGAACAAGCCTTTGGGACGCGACTTACGTTGTTCTGCAGGTCAGGGTTGCAACCTGCCAGAAGTAATTCCCTGCAACTTTGGTTATGACCATTTTGACAGCAGAGATGGAGAGCTGCAAATCCTCCACAGTTTTTGAGGTGCAGGTTGGCTTTTGCCTTTCCCAGGGCTGCGACGCTGTGACTGTAACCCTTCCAGCTGGCCTCGTGCAATGCGGTGTTGCCATGCTGTAACAATATCGTGGATTAACATTTACGCTGTGTAGGCAACTGAATGTAGGTAATCTGATCATTGTTGTGGACAGTTCTTGGCTCTCAGAAGGCTTTTGAAATATAACATTTATTTCTGGAATTCTATAGAAGACGTTTTATTATGTAGTAAAAATTGCGTTAAACTTAAAATTACGTGTGGAGTAGAAGTAGATAAAGCTGTTTCCTCATTGTAGGAAACTGTAATGCTCAAGAATATGACGCTAATGAGTATCATTACGTGACGTATTTTATCGTCGTCTTCTGTGTTGGTAAACCTGCTGATATTATCTGAGACGCTATAGTAAAGGAACCAAGAATGTATACAATTTACTTCATCACGTTCAATTATGACCCTGATTTTCAGGTTTAGCGTGTAAAATAAAATAGCAGAATATGGAAGAAGCTACTGAAATGCATGTAGGTTAATTTTTAATGGATACAAATATAAAAAGTCTGATAATAAAGAAGCAGTGAATGCCATTTTGTATGGAGTATAAAATTTTACAATTCGCTCAGGGGAACTGAAAACAGGTTTGGGAAATGTGAATTGTGGTCTTCTGGGTTGTGAGGTAGTCGTAATTCAGAATAGAAGTTGATATGTCCCTTTTTGACATCACAACTCAGAAGGCTTTTATTTATATTTTATATTTATGTAATCTAGAAGTTTAACAAGACACCATTTGCTGCATAGAGCTGAGAAAAACATCTGCAAGATATATTGAAAGTGAAAGTTCTTCTGTGTGAAGCTTTGCAAGTGGCAGAGAGGAAAAATCCTTACACAAACTGGGAATCGAACCCCGGTTTTTCAGCCCGAAGCCAGTCTTCTCATTGACTGTGATACCCCTACTCCCAATTAATAAAAAGTTTGAAAATAAGATTTTTACACAATCCGCTATATTAAATAGTACGTTTGTGTAACCTATTGCTTTTGTCTGGGGAGTCACGTTCCCTGGCATGCTGCACATCAGGTTGACCTTGAACCGAATTAACAACGCGTGGGGTTTAACCGCCACTCCCTCTGTGTTGTTTTATGACGTGGTGATGAACGTAGGGTTGGAAAAACAGGTGGTGGCGATACCTCAACACTGCTGATAAAAAAACAACATAAGTTTCAGGCCATTGCATAAAATTACTTGTGAATTCGTGCCGCAGTGACCAACCTTTTCCTGGTTAGGTGTTTTTTTCGAAGGCGGAACAACTTTTGTAGCGTCCATTGTAACATCGCATAAATATCTCGTTCTCAGGCGAAAAAATGAACAGTAAAAAACATCTGCTTATTTGATCGCGTGGTCCTGTGATATAAAGCAATACTGGAACGGAGCGAAATGGAAGACTCGGTTGATAGACCGGGCCTATTAACAAGCGAGTCCTTCAGTGAACGGTCTGATCTGCTGTCGGCGTATAAAACCTGGAATCGGCCCTCAGGGCGTCTTATACAGGGTTGTCCATTTCCGCACTGAATCGGAGTAATTTTCAGCTGTGTGTCGTCATAAGTAACGTCTGTTTTAGAAACCAAAGCATGAAATCGAAACACGTAGTAAAATATAATAATTTTTCGTTAATATACTGAAATTGTTTACAGGATGATTTGAAAGTAATGCAAAACATTCCTGACATATGTTCTGTTTGTACACTTCCCGTAGGATAATTTACTATGAAGAGAAAGTTTTTCAGTAACTTTCAAGGAAAGCGAAACAAAGTTCGACGGTTATCGTTTAAACTATCGATACTTAATATCGATTGTCGACCGGAACGGTTTCTGTCCTGCGCGTTTCCTGTGTCAAGGAAATGGTTCGCCAGATATTATCGATTTGTTTGGCACAGGGGAATAGATAAATGTAACCTTAAATTATTTGTAGAAAGTTAAGTAAGAACGAGATACCTGATAGTGTTCGACAAATTTTATAAATTTAACAAGGCTGATTAAAGTCCATTAATAACTTATGTACCACTAGTTTTAACACTCAATAACTATTTTGCGCAAAGATTGTATTATTTATGGGTGTGGTATGATTATCAGAGTTAACATCGATTATTTCCTTAAATATCATTAACCTATCGATCTTTTCAGTGATGAAATAACTTGTTTTCTTTGAGGTCGGAACTGTTTTGTTATATATTCTTTGGAAGAGCTTTGGGATTTACGTATGAATAAGGTGCATAAGTAGAAACAAATGTCCGAACACCCGTACATCAACGACTGTTCAGATGCAAAACAGTTTTTTTATAAGTGCTTAGAAGTGGGCGGGGAAACATCCCTCAGGTTAGACTCCAGTCAGAACATAACCTCACTCATTTTCTCTCACCTTTCACCTTTTCCCTTTCTGTGAGATGTTATCTGTACAGGCTGGCTACAAGGTCTTGTGTCATTAATTCGCGTTGTTGTGAGCTTGAAGGAGTGTTGTTTGTATGCCTATATTTTACAAGATGTAGAGTCCCAAGGCCTCAAATATTATTACGGAAGGGAAGACATCATATTTCAAAGATCTCTTACCTCTTTTCATACATCATATCAAGATCCCAGGAAATTAACAAGATTGAGGTTAAAGTGGCCTTCAATGGCATCAGTCTGTCCCTAATATGATAGCCAATACAGAATAAGAGTAAAAATAGTCCGTGTTTACGAGGCCATTACGCCCGTCTGCTTTTCCGATCGATTTTAAGTCTCTGGATACATGCATCAAACAAGCCAGAACAGCATCGTCGTCTTCAGATACAGACATACATGTGCATAATCACACTTCAATTGATTTTATGTTTGCAATGGAAAGGTAATATTGTTTGACCTTTTTAGAGGAGATTTAATGATTACTTGAATTTATGTCATTCATTGGATGGCATTTGAAAGTCTAAGTGACCCAGTTTGAAAACACTTAATCACAACATTGCGTAATCAGTGTCCATGCAACTTTCTTTAATAGACATTCCTTCCATTTAACCGAAATTAGTTAAGAACAATGAAACGATCTGCACAGTATGTTTAGCTTTGTTTTGAATTGTTTTGGAAGGGAAATTCTTTTTTTTTAAGTTTGTTTAGATTATTTCCCGCCGATAATTGTTACGAGGTTAAATTAATTTTTATTCCATGCAGTACTGAAAAAAGGGTGGTAATACGTAATCCGCTCTTCTACCTTTGCAATGTGCTGAAGCCTAGCGTTGACTATAGCAACTAACAGTGCAGTTGACAGTCGCCTTCTTGTAGTGATGGATATTTTATAGTTTACATCGGTAAGTACTTATAAAATTAATAATTAAATTGTTCTCTTTCATTGTATGTTCTCCGTATGTACCATTGCAGTGTAGAAAACAGGTTTTCTGATGTTTATAAGTTTCTGTTCGGCACCCATCGTGGCACATGAAACGTTTTAAGGCTGCAGCCATGTTCCGTTGTTTATCAAGTACGAAGTTTCGTCTTGCTTTGTTCTGACGTTTCGAGATAGCAGCTTAAAAGAAGTGTGTGGGACCTGAAAACAATGCTTCAATATTTTCCAACTTATTCAATCAGATAAAGGTGTTTCATGCTACCAGCAATATTTTTCAAGTGGTACTGATAAGAACTTCTTTTGTCTAGGAAACTGAAAATATTACAAAACGTGTTTTGCATATTGCCATTTTAGTGGGAGCATCTTCAGAAACTATTAAATGTTAAACAAAATGTACACATTTTTTAGTTTTAAAACAGTGGTACACACGTGACAACTCAGTGGTGTTCAACGTAAGCACGATCTTTTCTGCGATATGTGACACAACACGTAATGTCAACAACTTTGTTGTCCGGAATTTTGAGCGTGGTAATTATACTTACCACGTTGTCTTGACGATTGACGTCTGCCCCATTCTTGATGAGCTGTTTGACAACCTCCAGGTGTCCCTCGGCTGCTGCCCTTTGCAGTGCAGTGCACCCCATCTGTAATTAATAAATGAGTAAAGTGAAACGGGGAATGATTTATTTCGTGAAATGTAGCCCGAAACTCGTTGTGGAAAGTTGAGCAAGAACGCGATGTCAGGTAGTGTTCGACAATGAACCTTCTTTGCGCTGTGAAAAAAAATACGTCCTTGTACTTCGACTGTTGAAAAACAGTTGAAGGAAGGACTGGCGTGATCAGGTTACGACATCACGTGACCTTCGTGGGCTCTTACATAGTCAGAGCGATACTAAGTGTTTATCAGTCCAATCGAATTGTATTGAATTGTAACCATTAATAAATGTTTTAATATGGGTTGCGTGGCTTTGCACAATACTTAATGACCGCGTAATGGCAGTGTTGCCTAGTGTACGTATCTGTGATGTACGAGGGTTAAAAAATGTTGGTTCATTACAAGTTTCGCTTATAACGTGTTGAGTACGTCCAGCGTGAGGTATGGTTTGGAGGAATGTCGATCTTTGGGTAAACAACTCATTTCAGTGACGGCCTTGAAAAGGAGCCCTCATAAACGTTAATATCCAAGAGATTTATTTATAAAAAAAAATTCCTTAGATTGAGGAAATGCGTACAAAATTTTCGTTGTAAATTCTGAACAGGATATAGACTGTTGACATTTTGGTGAATTATTGGAGGACTGTGTATTTTTTTTAATCTGTCAATTGGTTAGAACTCTAAAGCATCTGTTAAGTCCCTGCTACTCTCCATTTCGATATGTTTTTTCCCCCCATTTATTTCCTGAACATGGAGGCGACATATTCCTTCGAAACAGGTCTGCTGAAAAAAAAAAGTTTTTTTTTCAGTTCTGCTGTTTTGTGTGGGCCTGGATAGTTCCGTCAGTATCATGTTGCCTACGAATTGGCTGATCGTGGGGTTTGATCACCGGTGGGGACAAACGATTCTTGGTTTTGTCTATCTAATGTTTACCACGGCTCCTTTCCCGGGGGTAAGTCGCGGCCGATATTAAGAATGAGTAGGTGATATGTTCTCAATTAGCTTTGTCGAAATTTAAGTACTAGATTATATTATAGAATCAAAGATAGGAGATTCGCGAAAATTATACATTTTTAGTCTGTAGTAGTGTAGCTTATTTCACTTTTGAATTGTCCATTACGAACATATTAATTTGTTTAATGACATGCACTGAAATATGCCTGTAATAAGTCCTTCCATTAAGTACTTCTTACCACAGTGTAATAAGGTAGTACCAGACCACACGGCGCTACGAATCAGACGACAGCCATCTTTGTACTCACCGCTGAGAGAAGCTCAACTCCTACTTCGTGATAAATTAAATCGAACAACGTAGTTTAAATTACCCCTTAAGGTTTAAGTCTTTGAAGTTTAATATAAATTGTTACAGCTGTGAATTTGTAAGTTCCAAATGAATGAGTTGCAGATTTTTCGTAACAGTTACCGTTAAGTACGGCAACAGTAGGAAGAAATCAGAGAAGTTGGCAGGCGTGGTGTCACTAACGCGAAGAACACACAATGCAAAGAAGTCAGTAGGAAAGAAGGAGTTATTCGTAATGTGACTAAAGCTTCTACTTTGCAAAGTAAACAGAACTTCTCCATTACAAAGATAAATTAGTTAATGCTGCTTGTGGTAAAAATCCATGTCTCTTAGTGATGAAGACATTTCACTTACGTAAAACCGAACGTTTATAGCCATGTTATCAAACTCGCCACATCTGTGTAACATTTCTTAACATTCTGGTATTTTTACATTGAGAGGTTGTTAGCACTTCGCCCTACACCCAAGTTCGAAGACAAAGGCTTCTTGTCTGTCCCTGAGTGATTATTCAGTATATTTGCAACAATCCATTATCCATCACTTTTTATCTGAAGGCCATCTCTTACACCAATACCAAAAGACGTGCCTTGCTGTTGTGACAAGGGAACCACTTAAAATGGCCAGTGTTATCTACGAAATAACCAAACCTACTGAATCAAACTGGAGTGTTACAAGTCTCAGAACAGATGGTTCATGTCTTCATTAAATCGAACTCTACGCGTTCGGAATTTATAGGGATCGAATTCTGATACTAATATCTTGACAGAGATTTATAATTTGTTTCTTAAAATAGGCTGCAACCACTTTGTAGACGGTCCTTTCGAGTTCTGTAACCTGTTAATTAACACATGGAATGTGTACCGTAATTGAGAGGTGATAAATTTATATTCGAGTAAAGATATTGACTAATGCAGGCAATACGACACAGAGGTTATGTACATATCAGTTCTTAATTATTCTAATAGAGGAAAACCGGTGTTTCTGCGGAATGAAGCAAGATTGATAGATGGTTGTAAAAGGTGTTAACTTCGTTTGTTATATCAGAATAATTCTGTGTCGAAACAGGCCAGAATACATGAATTGGCGCATACTGTTGGATATTTTTATTGGTCTATAGGTTAAAAAATACACAATAAAAATTGGTGTCTTCTGAAATTTGCGCCGTATAGTCTCGGAGAAATTGTCCGACGTTTCAAAGGGATTTCCCGCTGTCATCATCAGGTCCTAAAACTTCGGTTTATTGAGACTACACATTACAGAAGGCAGTCGTCTTTATGCTCGCCACCCTGAGAACCCGAAATGTCACTCAGAGTACATAATATTTTGCGGAATAAGAGTTTGTCGACCTGTTAGGAAGATAATGGAACTTGAAACAAAATAATGTCTTATTCCGATAAGACCGATGTTTTAAGTCCCATAACAGAGCGAAAGCAAAATTAAGTCCCATAACAAGCTATACGACACATACATAACACGGAAGGTGTTAAAATGTCAGGGCTGTCCAAATTATTGTGTAATTTCTTACCTGGCCACATGTAACAATTTAATTGTGATATTGGGGGCCGTCACAGTGGCCGCGGGTTCGAATCCCACTAAAGCCATGAATGTTTTTCTGTGTCGTGCTGTCCTGTGTACAGGTAGAGGCCTTGCGACGGGCCGATCCCTCATCCAAGGTGTCCTACCGATTGTCTAATAGATCAAAGCCAACGAAAAGTTGGGACCCGCAGATGCTCAAAGCACTGAAGAACGGGTCTCCTAAGTAAGATATTGGGAGTTCTTTCTAAGATCTGTTCTAATTTTTGTTGAAATCGGGCGAAAATATCGGGAGTTCTAAGCGTTTCCGCATGCCAAGTGACTGATTGGGGAATCCCCGTGGCCAGTTTACTTTGATGACGTCATAACCATACGTCTCCCAACCTGCAGGTTCCACGAACCACATTCGTTTGTTAACCCTTTAAGAATAGTGGTAACTATATGTACCACCAACATTTTGCCCACGGAATGTATGTACGGGTTTCTTATGATAATCAGAACAAACCAACTGGTGTTTGTAATGGAGACACGTGTTTTATTTGAGGTTGGAACTGCATTTTCTAAATATTAGTAAGCTGAGCTTCGGGCTTCGAATAGTTAACTCGTAACATATTTTTATGAGAATAGCAGACGGACACGTGTTAAGTGAAACTATAAACATTCCGTTTTATGTGTAATCTTGGTTCATTCTGTCATATATCACATCCTTCTTCCTTGGTTGATTCAGCCTTTTTTTTTTTTTTTTTCATCTGATGATGGAGATGTAAGTTGTCGTCTCGCGGTCTGCCCTCGGGGTGTTGGTAAAGCAAACCCAGTCAGACTTGTTTTGGTCTTCAAGGTGACAAAAGAAGACCACTGTTGTATTCCGCGTGTTAATAGCCAACGCCTTGATGAAAACTAGGAATTCTTTATCTTACGTTTTCATCGTCAGATATGAGATTCGTGTCTGACAGTTATTGACACGTGAATTCGTTGAAACGAAGTGGCTGTTTCATAACGCAATTAAAATACTTTTAAAATGAAACAAATGTCTTAACTGTTCTGTCCGATACTTAAAGACGATTTTAAAGTCACAGTGACAGAGTTGCAGTGTTTTATAATTAATTATTCTTGCCCTCGGTTGGATTAGTTGTAAGCTCGCTTGTCAGTGGATCTAAGGTTTGCGGGTTCAAACCCGGTCGAGGTCGATAGATTTTTAAGGCGAGAAAACTTCTATGTATTTTAAAACACTTTTTTTTTTGTTATGATTCTTTCAGTGTCTGTGGTAATGTGTCTGTAAATAGAAACCTACATAATTCAATTTAGTACTTTAGTTTAACGTGCTAACTCAACAGCTACACAAACCAATTAAGAAAATTAAATACAAAGATAAAAGAACGAAAGTACATACAAGAAGTAAATATACAAAGTATAAGTGATTATTACAGACTAATAGATTTGAACAAAAGATTTGTTAACTTATGTTATAGAACTTGTTAACATTAGGTCTATTACAAATCTCACTGGCAGCTAAGGAGCAGCGAACATAGGGAGAAGTCGCAAAGTTTTTGTTTTTGAAGTCTGATAGTGAAAAATTTCCAAAAAATGAAGAACAGATAACAAAGTCGCTATAAACTTTACTTACGAACAAAACGTCAAAGTAACGACGTGTATAATATGTTCAGTTTTAAGTTAATGTTGTTAAACTAAATTAAATCGTATGATTTGAGGTTTTCACAGCGGTGAGTATGAAGATTTCTGTCTTCTGGGTTGTTGCGATGAATCGCCCTGATGA